CGGGGTGAGTTAAAATCCAAATTTAATCCCCCCCCCCACCGCAAAATTTAACAGATCCCCCCAAAATCTTCTCAAAACTCCACAGAAGCCATGAAGAGCCCCCCCCAAAATGTCACCAAAAGCCCCAAAATCCTCCCACACCCCCCCAAAATCTATCCCAGACCCCCAAAAGTGCCCCAGACCACCCAAAATCCATTTCAGACCCCCCCAAAATCCATCCCAGACCCCCAAAAGAGCCCCAGACCCCCCAAAACCCATCCCAGACCCCCCCAAAATCCATCCCAGACCCCCCAAAATCCATCCCAGACCACCCCAAAATCCATCCCAGACCCCCCAAAACCATCCCAGACCCCCCAAAAGTGCCCCAGACCCCCCAAAATCCATCCCAGACCCCCAAAATCCATCCCAGACCCCCCCAAATCCATCTCAGACCCCCCAAAACCCCCCAGACCCCCCAAAATCCATCCCAGACCCCCCAAAATCCATCCCAGACCCCCCAAACCCATCCCAGACCCCCCAAAATCCATCCCAGACCCCCCAAAATCCATCCCAGACCCCCCAAAATCCATCCCAGACCCCCCCAAAATCCATCCCAGACCCCCCAAAATCCATCCCAGACCCCCCAAAATCCATCCCAGACCCCCCAAACCCATCCCAGACCCCCCCAAAATCCATCCCAGACCCCCCAAAATCCATCCCAGACCCCCCAAAACCATCCCAGACCCCCCAAAATCCATCCCAGACCCCCCAAAACCGTCCCAGCCCCCCCAAATCCCCCCAAACGCCCCCCCCTCACCTGGCAGCCCCTTGGAGCCGCTGCTGCCCCCGGGGGGGGTCCCCTGCGCCCCCTCCCCATCGCTGGGGCCGCCCCCCCCCGGCCCCTCCTCGTCTGGGGGCGCCCCCCCGGCTGTGGGGGGGGTCCCGCCGGGTGGGGGAGGGTCGCAGGGGGAGGGGCTGCCCGGGGGGAGTCCTGGGGGGGGAGAAAAGGGGGTCAGGGGGGGTTTGGGGGCGGTCTGAGGGGGTTTGGGGAATTTTGGGGGGGGTCTGAAGGGGTTTGGGGGGGGTCTGAGGGAGTTTTGGGGGGTCTGAGGGGGTTTGGGGAATTTTGGGGGGGGTCTGAAGGGGTTTGGGGGGGTCTGAGGGGGTTTGGGGGGGGTCTGAGGGGGTTTGGGGGGGATCTGAGGGGGTTTGGGGCATTTTGGGGGGGTCAGGGCGGGTTTGGGGGGGTCTGAGGGGGTTTGAGAGGATCCTGAGTGGGATCCTGAGGGGGATCAAAGTGGGGGTCGGGGGGATCCTGAGGGGAATTTCGGGGGATCCTGTGGCGAATCCTGAGGGGATTTTGGGGGTTCCTGAGGGGGATCTCGGGGGGGTTCTGGGGGGGGATTCTGAGGGGGATCTCGGGTGGATCCTGAGGCAGATCTTGAGGGGGATCCTGAGGGGAATTTTGGGAGATCCTGAGGGGGATCTCGGGTGGATCCTGAAGGGGATCCTGAGGGGGATCTCGGGGGATCCTGAGGGGATTTTGGGGAATTCTGATGGGAATTTCGGGGGATCCTGAGGCAGATCCTGAGGGGGATCTCTGGAAGGGTCTCAGAGGAGATCAAAGCGAGGATCAGAATTTCGGGGGGGTCACTCACCGGCCTCTCCCGCCGCCTCCACCACGAGGGTCCCGCCGGGAGGGTCCTGAGGGGGAGGGGGAGGGGCAGAGCGCGCCGTGAGGGGAGCGCCCCTCCCCCGCCGCGGATCCCGCCCCTCCCCCCGCTCACAGCCACCGCCCGAATCCCCAAAACCTCTGAAAACCCCTCAAAAAAAGCCCAAAATCGCCTGAAAAAGCCCCAAAAAGCGTTCCCGGCTCGGCCTCCCCTCAGACCTCGGCGCCTCCCGCCGCCTCCATCGCCGCGCGCGGTGACGTCAGCACGCAACGCGGGGGGCGTGGCCACGCCTTTTCCGGGGAAGCCACGCCCACCGCGCCGGGCTTTGTGCTGCCGGATTGGCCACGCCCATCGAGAAAGCCACGCCCCTCGCTGGAAGCCACACCCCTCGGCTCAAGCCACGCCCCTCGGCTCAAGCCACGCCCCTCGGCTCAAGCCACGCCCTTTGTGTTTAGGCCACGCCCCTTGTGGGTTTAGGCCACGCCCATGTGGAATTTTGGGGGGTCCCGGTGGTTCGGGACCCCCCAAATTGTCCCGAAAAGGCTCAAAAATGGCTCTGAAAACGAATAAATCCCCGAAAAACGAGAAAAGGATAAAAATGAATCAATTTGGAAAAGCGAAAAATCCATAAAAATTCATAAATTGCGCACAACAAATCCCAGAAATTTAATAAATCGATAAAAGCGAATAAATGCCCAAAAATTAGTACATTCCAAAAAATAATAACCCCAAAAATGTATAAATGCCAAAGAAATTAATAAACCCCCAAGGTGGTATTAATGAATGCCCAAAAAATGAATAAATCCCCCCAAAATAACTAAATTTTATAAATTAAATGTCAAAAAGTCATTAATCCTTAAAAATTAATAAATCCCAAAAATTAACCAATCACTAAAAATTAATAAGTGCCAAAAAATAATTTCCCCAAAGTAAATCCCAAATTCATAAGTCCCAAAAATATTAAATTTATAAATCTTCCCAAAGTGAATCCCAAAAAATAAATCCAAAAGAAAAAAAACCCTAAAAAATAAATAAATCCTCCAAAAATAAGCAATTCCCCCAAAATAAATCACAAATAAGTTATTACATCCCAAAACTAAGTTAATAAATGCCCACAAAAATGAATAAATCCCTGAAAACAAATGAACAAATCCCAAAAAATCAACTAAAAACCCGTTTTAATTTTTTTTTCAAAATCCGTTTATTACAAAAAAACTCCAAAAAAAACCTCCGGGGTTGGGGGAGGGGTCCCACGCCCCTCCCCCACCCCAAAAAGGGTCTCAACCCCCCCCAAAATCTCCCAAAAGGGACCCCAAATTCTCCTCTCTACCCCCTAAATCCCCCCAAAAACACCCCAAATTTTTGGGGTCTCCTCCCCCACCCCAAATCCTTCCCCCCCATCCCCAAAAACTTCCCCTCCCCCCACTACAGCCTAAGGGGGTCCCCAAATCCTAAAATCTACAAAACCCCCCAAAAATCTGGGGGGAATCCCAAAAAAAAATCAGGGAAACCCCAAAAATTTGGGAGGAATCCCCAAAACACCGGGGGGGACCCCCCCAAAAATCCCCCAAAACCTTGAGACCCCCAAATTTACCCGGAGGGACCAAATTCGGGGGGATGCCCCCCAAAAAATCCGAATTATTCAGCTCATTTTGCCCAAAATCCCCAAATGTTGGGCGGTTTTGGGGTTTTTTTCCTGTTTTTTCCAGTTGGATTTTCAACGGGGACCCCAAAATTCGTCACCCGGGGCTGTTCCTCAACATTTTGGGGTCGTTTTCCGTCGTTTTGGGGTCGTTCCCCTTCATTTTGGGGTCCTTTCCCCCCATCTTGGGGTCATTTCTCCTCATTTTGGGGTCATTTCCCCTGATTTTTTCATTCCTCCTCATTTTGGGGTCATTTCCCCCAGTTTTGTCATTCCTCCTCATTTTGGGGTCATTTTCCCCGATTTTGTCGTTGTTCCTCCTCATTTTGGGGTCATTTCCCCCTATTTTGTCATTGTTCCTCATTTTGGGGTCATTTCCCCCAATTTTGGGTGTCCCCACTTTGTTCCAGGAAGGATTTGGGTGTCCGGGGGTCACTCGGTCACTTTGGGGTCATTCCTGACCACTTTGGGGTCACTCCGTGGTCACTCTCTGGTCACTCTGGTCACTCTGTGGTCACTCCGTGGTCACTCTCTGGTCACTCCGTGGTCACTCTCTGGTCACTCTGGTCACTCTGGGCTCGTTGCCATCATCCTGGGGGTCACCCACTCGGGGTCACGGTGTCCACACGCCCAGGGGTCACTTTGGGGGTCACTTTGGGGTCGTTGCCGTCACCCTGGTGGTCACTCTCAACGTCCAGCAGGGTCCAGATGTCCGGCGGTCACTCCCCACCACCGTGGGGTCACTTCATGGTCACTGCCACCTCCTTGCCACCACCCCAGTGGTCACTCCTCAGTGTCCAGCAGGGATCCAGTGTCCAGTGGTCACTCCCCACCGCTCTGGGGTCACTCCCACCACTCTGGGGTCACTTTGTGCCACTTTGGGGGGTCACTCCCCACCATGTTGGTGGTCACTCTGTGGTCAGTCCCACTTCCTTGCCACCACCCCAGTGGTCACTCCCTCAGTGTCCAGCAGGGATCAAATGTCCAGTGGTCACTCCCCAACACTCTGGGGTCACTCCCACTGCTCTGGGGTCATTTTGCATCGCTTTGGGGTCACTCCCCAACACTTTGGGGTCACTCCCACCGCTCTGGGGTCACTTTGTGCCACTCTGGGGTCACTTTGCACCGCTCTGGGGTCACTTTGCACTGCTCTGGGGTCACTTTGCACCACTTTGGGGTCACTTTGCACCACTTTGGGGTCACTCCCACCACTTTGGGGTCACTTTGCACCACTTTGGGGTCACTTTGCACCGCTCTGGGGTCACTCCCACCGCTCTGGGGTCACTTTGTGCCCCTCTGGGGTCACTCTGTGGTCACTCCCACCGCTCTGTGGTCACTCCCACCACTTTGGGGTCACTCTGTGGTTACTCTGGGGTCACTCTCACCACTTTGGGGTCACTTTGCACCGCTCTGGGGTCACTCTGTGGTCACTTTGCACTACTCTGGGGTCACTCCCACCGCTCTGGGGTCACTCTGGGGTCACTTTGTGCCACTCTGGGGTCACTCTGTGGTCACTCCCACCGCTCTGGGGTCACTCACTGCCCACCCCCCTGGCGGTCACTCCGCGGTCACTCCGACCCCCTCTCCCCCCCCGCGGTCACTCCCACCACCCCCCCCCTCACCGCCCCTCCCCCCCGCCCCTCCCCCCTCGCTCACCCGGGGGAGGACCCGGCACCCCCCTCCCCCCCCCGCCCCCCTCCCCCCGCCCCGCCGGGCCCTCCCCCTCCCCCCCTCACCGCAGCAGCGCCCCTCCCTCGGCGCCGCCGGCTTCCAGCACGTTCTGGGCGGTGGTTTTGCCGTGCTGCTCCTTGAGGTGCCGGCGGATGGCGGGTTTGTGGGCGAAGCGCACGTCGCAGTAGGAGCAGCGGTAGGGCCGCGCGCCGCTGTGCAGGTTCAGGTGGTCGTGCAGCGTGGATTTCTGCGTGAAGCTCTTGCCGCAGACGCCGCAGCCGTGCGACTTGACGCCGCGGTGCACGTTCATGTGCCGGTTCAGGTTGCTGCTGTGGTTGAACTGCTTCCCGCAGCGCGGGCACATGAACACGAAGTGCTGCGCCCGCATGTGGAACACCAGCTTCTCCACGCCCTGGAAGCTCTCCCCGCACTTCCCGCACCGCGACGACGCCGCCGGTGTCACCGTGGAGGTTGTGGCGCTCACCGATGCGGCCGTGTGTGTGCCTGGTGGTTCCTCTGTGCTGCTTGCAACACCAACACCTCCACCAGCACCGGGGAAGATGACCAAACCTTCCCCCTCGGCATCCTCGGCCAGGCTGTAACACGCCTTGACCACCCCGATCCGCGCCGCGCCGCCGTCCGGCAGCCCCACCGCCGCCGCCGTGCTGGGTGTCACCTCCGCACCGGTCACCGCCGGCCACCTCCTCCCGCGGCGCCGCGTGGCCGGCTCCACCTTCACAATACACACATCCCCCGCTGCATCCTCCTCATCCTCCTCCTCCTCCTCCTCCTCGGGCTTGGGCGGCGGCGCGGGCGCGGCGGGCGCGGGCTGGATGAAGCGCGCCAGGGCGCCGCGGCAGCGCTCCACCACGTGCTCCATCTGCAGGTAACTCGCCGCCGTCAGGTAGTTCACCAAATCCCGCCCGGCGAACTCGAGCGCGCCGGTGTAGCAGGACAGCAGCAGGTCGGCCAGGACCCGCGCGCTGTGCGCCAGCGAGACGCGCAGCTCGGCCGCGGGGTTCAGCAGGAACTGGTCGCGCAGGAAGGGCGAGCACGCCGCCAGGATGACGCGGTGCCCGCGGAAGCGCAGGCTCCGCGCCACGATGGTCACGTCGCAGAAACGCTCCTCGGCACGCAGCCGCGTCATCGAGCGCAGCGCCGCCGCCTCGTGGCCCGGCAGCTGGAAACGGAGCACCTCGGCGCACGAGGACATGGTGTGGGGGGGATGGGGGCTGGGGGGCTGGGAGGGACTGGGAGGGACTGGGAGGGAACTGGGAGCGGAGTTATGGGCACTGGGAGGGGAGTTATGGGCACTGGGAGGGGAGTTATGGGCACTGGGAGGGGAGTTATGGGACTGGGAGGGACTGGGAGGGACTGGGCGGGACTGGGAGGGACTGGGAGTGGACTTATGGGCACTGGGAGGGACTGGGGGGGCACTGGGAGGGAACTGGGAGGGGAGTTATGGGCACTGGGAGGGGAATTATGGGCACTGGGAGGGACTGGGGGGGACTGGGAGGAACTGGGAGGGACTGGGAGTGGAGTTATGGGCACTGGGAGGGACTGGGAGGGACTGGGGGGGACTGGGAGGGGACTGGGAGGGACTGGTAGTAACTGGGAGCAGAGTTATGGTAACTGGGAGGGAACTGGGAATTGTTTTGGAGAACTTGGCCGGGACTGGGACTGGGGTGATGGGGACTGGAGGTTACTGGGAGAACTGGGAGGGCCACTGGGAGTCACCGAGGGTCACTGGGAGTTACTGGGAGCACTGGGGGGGTCACTGGGAGTTACTGGGGGGGGTCACTGGGCGTTACTGGGGGGGTCACTGGGAGTTACTGGGGGGGTCACTGGGAGTTACTGGGAGCACTGATGGGGTCACTGGGAGCACTGGGGGGGTTACTGGGAGTTACTGGGGGGGGTCACTGGGAGTTACTGGGAGCACTGGGGGCACAGGGGGGGTCACTGGGGGGTCACTGGGAGTTACTGGGCGTTACTGGGAGCACTGGGGGGGGGTGGGGGAGGCTCCGGGAGTCACGTGGCTGCACCTGCGGAGGGAGGGGGGGGGGGAGGAGTGAGGTGGGGGTGGGGGAGGGGCGGGGGGGGGGGGCGCGCGCCAAGGCCGCGCCGTGACGTCATCGCGCCCCCCCCGTTTAACCAAACCCCCCCAAAACCGCCTCCCCGACCCCCTCCCCCTCCCCCGGGGCCGTGCCCGTCCCCCCCCGTCCCCCTCCCGCCGTTACCGGTCGGGCCGCGGGCCCGGGGCAGAGAGCGGCGGCGGCGGCGGGCGGGAGGGGCCGGCGCGGGGCATTGTGGGATGCAGGCGGACCCCCCTGCCCCTCAGCGCCGCGGGGCATGCTGGGATACTGGAGGACCCCTCTTCCCCCTCAGGGCCGCGGGGCATTCTGGGATACTGGAGGACCCCCCCCTCCCCTCAGGGCCGCGGGGCACTGTGGGATGCAGGCGGACCGCGTGACGTCACCGGCGCGCTGCGCCGTTGCCATGGGGACGGGAGAGGGCGGGAAAATGGGGAAAAAACGGGGAAAAAACGGGGGAAAAACGCGCAAAAATCGGTCCAGAAGTGGTCGGGAAGTGGTCGGGAAATGGTGGAAAGGTGGAGAAAAAAAGTGGTGGAAAGATCGGCGATAAAAGGTCCAAAAGGGTCAAGAATGGTGGAAAAACTAAGAAAAATGGTAAAAAAAAAGGTCGGGATATGGTAAAATACGTGGCCAGGGAATGGTGAAGAAATGGCCGAAATGCCCAAAAATTGCGGGGAAAATGGTGGAATAAACTGTCAGAAAATGGTAAAAAAGAAATGGTGGAAGAAATGGGCAGAAAATTGGTCCAAAAATGGTCAGGAAATGGTAAAAAATGGTGGCAAAAAC